TTTGAGAAAATAATTTATAACCAATTACTAGCACACTTTTCTATAAATAAGCTACTTCATTTAAAACAGTTTGGTTTCACTAGAGGCAAAAGTACTACTGATGCTGGAACTGCACTTCTCAAACACATTTTTGATATATGGGAGAGTAAGCACGATGCTATTGGCATTTTTTGCGATTTATCTAAGGCGTTTGACTGCGTTAGCCATGAAACATTGTTAAATAAAATGAAGCATTATGGTGTATCAAATATTTCACTAAGTCTGATACAGTCTTATCTTTCTGCTAGGATTCAGAAAGTAGTTATAAATGAGGCCGAGTCTACAGGAGCACCCATTTCTATGGGCGTGCCCCAGGGTTCAATATTGGGCCCATTGCTTTTCCTTATTTATATTAATGACCTTCCTCACTTTACAAGAGATTTGTGTGAGACAGTACTATTTGCTGATGACACCTCTTTAGTGTTTAAAGCTAGGAGAGGAAATGATTGTTATGACGAAGTAAATTGTGCTCTCTCTGAAGTCCTTCACTGGTTTACGGTAAATAATTTAAAACTAAACTCTAGTAAAACAAAATGTGTTAAGTTTACTTTACCTAATGTGAGGCAGGTTAATACTAGTTTAAAAATAAATGACCAGCCTGTAGAGTTAGTGGATTCTACAAAGTTTCGGGGTATTACTTTAGACTCGCATCTGCAATGGGATCCTCATATTGATGCCTTATCAAGTAGACTGAGCTCTGCGGCCTTCGCTGTTAAAAAAATAAGACTCCTAACTGATGTGGAAACGGCAAGAATGGTTTACTTTGGTTACTTTCATAGCGTTATGTCATATGGCCTTTTGTTGTGGGGCTCAGCTGCTAATATAGAAAGTATTTTCGTACTGCAAAAGAGAGCTGTTCGCGCCATATATAATTTAAAGGCAAGAGAATCTCTTAGAGAAAAATTTAAAGAAATTAATATTTTAACACTGGCATCGCAATACATCTATGAAAATATAATATATGTAAGAAGAAACTATGACGCATTTGCAAAAAAAAGTCAAACCCATAACTTAAACACGAGATTTAAGAACCAGCTTGCCGTTCCATGTTTCAGACTCCAAAAATCAAGAGGTTCATTTCTGGGATGTAGTATTGCATTGTTTAACAAAGTTCCCCAAGATCTGATTGAGCTTCCACTAACCAAATTTAAATCTCAGATTAAAAATACTCTTATGAATAAGGGCTATTATAAAGTTAATGAATATTTAAATGATCGTAATGCATGGACATAGTGTTTCTTGTAATTTCTTATTTGATGGGTATGAGTCAGTTTTGTAACAGTAGTATGGTACCTATCTAATGCCGCTTCCTATATATACTAAATATAAAATTTGTTGTAACTATATATCTATACCCTAAATAATGTAATGGAAGGTGACTTCAGAAGTTTGTGTGAAGTCATTTTTCAACTTGACGACTCTGTATATATCAATACAGGGAGAAAAAAGCAGCCCTTGCTGAGTTTCTTGCCGGTTCTTCTCAGTACAAGGTCTCCCGCCGTAGTTTTGCGAACCGATGGCGTAGCTTCTTGACTTTCACAAGTGCTTGTAACAGCCTAGACTGAATAAATGACTTTTCATTTCATTTCATTTCATTCAGTGGAAATCTCAAATGAAGAGTTTAGAAAAGACAAAGAAATTGTTATCACACAGAATTCCTGTCATTCATCAGCCTATGCAAAAATACAAACCACTTATAGCGAAAAATTGTTTGAACCAGTGCTTTCACAGAACTTTTCATCAAAAACTATCATGCTTTCTGACAAATTAGGTCAGGGACTTTCATATATTATTAGTAATAAATATAATAATATTTTTTACAGTTTATGCTCTCCTGGGCAATCATTTATTTCTTTATTTTATCAGAAAACCAACAGCGAAACAAAAAAAAAATTTTACATACTTTCTAATACTAAGGCTAATAATAAGTTTTCTATGAGATTTACAATTGTACTAAGACGTGGGAAGACATGATCTATTGCTTATTAGCTAATACTTGTTTTATTGTGTATGATGGAGAACCAAGTACATAGTCCCTCATCACCAACTGCTCCCGGCGACCCGAGTCTTTGTTCATAGAATGAATGTAATATAAATTTTGCCGTAATAGCATACCGAACGTATTAACTGAAATACTGCAAAACTCGCTGTTTAAATGTGTGTTTCGATATCCCGAAATTCAGACAACACCGATAAGGAATTACTACACAATTTATGCAGTTGGTGTTGAACCAATATATGCCCTTAGTTCTTAAATAAATGAACCATTTTTGAATAATTTTTAAGTTGGAAAAATAAATATTAACTCAGAACACATCTGCTCACGATCGATGTAACAGAGGAAGATTTCAAGAAATTGTAAATAATGGTAGAACGCAAAGGGTAGATAGTTAAAACAACATAACCATTTTATGTGGTGACAGCTCAGACATTAAAAAAAAGACATACTGAAATCTTTAAATGTGTTATTAAAGTTACAAGGTGAAACGAACTGCAAATTATTGATCAATGGAGTATATCTATCAAAGTCATAAAGAATATTATACATTCTATATATATAGGTATGATGTTACTGAATTTCATAAAATTATTTTTCATTAATTTTATGAAATTCAGTAACATCATACCTTTATTTATGTCTGGAAATTGTAAAGATCCTAGCAACTATAGGCCAATATCTATATTAACAGCATTGAGTAAAATATTTGAAAAAAATATGTTAGAACAATTGTTGACTCATTTTAACATTAATAAACTTTTACACAGAGCGCAGTTCGGTTTCACTAAAAACCGTTTCACAACTGATGCTGGTGCCACTATGCTAAAATATATATTTAATGCTTGAGAAAGGTCGCAGAATGCTTTCGGGGTTTTCTGCGATTTATCTATAGCCTTTGATTGCGTTAATCATCGAACATTGTTACGGAAATTAAATCATTACGGCATAAAAGATTCCTCACAAAAATTAGTGCAATCATATTTAACAGAAAGGACACAAATATTTGATATTAACGGTACAAAATCAGTAGGATGTCTTGTAAAAAATAGGCGTTCCTCAGGGTTCAATTTTAGATTCATTTCTTTTCTTAATTTACATTAATGATTTAGTTAGTTATTAGTGTAAAACTTATGACGATGCAACAATGCACTTTCCAAGGTACTTCACTGGTTCTCTTCTAATAATCTAAAACTTAATGTGAGCAAAAGTAAATGTGTGAAATTTACTTTGCCGAATGTAAAGCATGCTGAAATAGAGGATATAAATCTAAATGCTGAAAAACTAATATTAGACGATACAACTGTTTTCTTAGGCGTAACACTAGACCACAAACTTCAATGGAACCCTCACATTACAACACTATCCGGTAAACTTAGTTCTGCTGCTTATGCAATTTATAAAATAAGACGGCTTACAGATGTCGCGACACTGCTAGGACAATATACTTCAGCTACTTTCACAGCATTATGTCGTATGGCATTCTATTGTGGAGCACGACCGCAGACAATGGAACAGTTTTTATTCTTTAAAAACGAGTTATAAGAGCTATTTATCGCTTGGATCTCGAACTTCTCTTAGGGATAAATTTAAAGAAACAGGTATAATGACTGTTGCCTCTCAATACATTTACAATTGTATATTGTTTGTGCGTCAGAACATAAATTTATATTTGAGGCGCGATGATGTTCATAATTTCAATACCAGAAATAAACTCAAATTGCCACCGTTGAGACTCTAAAAGGTTCTTAATTCATTTGTGGGTATGTACTATAATAAAATACCAAAAGAAATAATTAATTTACATTTTAATAAGTTTGTATAAAAAATGTCTTCTTAAGAATGGTTACTATACTGTTAAAGATTTCTTAAATGATAAGTCACCTTGGGCTTAATATAATAGACTAAGTCGTTTTACTTTACTAATTTGGTTGAAAATTGTTTAATCGCCGCTTCTAAATTTAAAAATAGTACCTAGCTATACTTAGCTTTTGTAAATTAAAAATATTAATGTGATGGAAGTTGACATCAACACATGTTTTCAATTTTTGATGTCCTCTTTCAATTGACGATACTGTATGAAACAAAACAGGGAGAAAAAAATAGCTGTTGCTGAGTTTCTTGCCGGTTCTTCTCAGTACAAGGTCTCCCGCCGTAGATTTACGAACCGATGGCGTAGCGTTTGACTTTCACAAGAGCTTGTAACAGCCTAGACTGAATAAATGAGTTTGAGTTGAGTTATATGTTGACAGAATCGTATAATAAGTTTGTTATACTACTTAAAGACAAAATAATATTGAATAAGTAGAAAAATAGGTATATTTTACTTAATAATTAAAGTGAAAGTTGAGCTTCACTTACCAAACATCAATTATGCTAGCAAAATATAATTGCTTTTACTAGGATAGATAACATTAAGAACCAATCCTCTCCCCTTCGGATCCCTGTGGAGCTGAGACGTGCTCAACTGAAATCTGTGTCGCTTTTACTTTTAACTATAAGAAACCGCATTTTGAAAACATGACGGACGATATAATTTAATAATAATATATACAGGAACAATGAACCTAAAACTAAATACCTTAAAAAATATAATATAATAACTAAAATATATTATTAAAAGGAGTCCCTTTAGGCAAGGTTCCGAAGATACTGTCAGCGTTTCCCCTTTGAATAGCTAAACTAATTCTTTGTCCGAGGTTTTTGATGTTTCCTTAAAAAAACCCTATAGCGCTAGGACCCCACGAACCAAGGTGTTGCCGACCTCTTTTATAGATTTAGTTTTATAGTTTTTTGAAGTGTTTTTAACGTATTGACATTTTTACGATTTTTGCTATCAAAATTGTTATTGTGTGTCATAGTTTTTTCCTGTCATCTGCTTTAATATTATTTGGTTACTTACTTTAAAATAGTGTAAATAAACCCATTGCATTCAAATGCTAGCTTTCATTTTCCATCCATTCCATCGACACCGAATGGGACAAAATCATATTTGGAGCCTAGACCCCTGTATTTGCATGCTTTTGCTTTTTCAGTCGCGTAACAAGCCGCACCAGCTCTGTTGTTGGTTCCATGTAGATGGGAAGGGGCCAGCGTGTCTGAACAGGTTGAATCTCATATTAGCACCCGGCCCATCTTCCATGGAATCAAACTCATACCGTTCGGACTCTTGCAATTCAATTAATTAATATAATTAGTCATGTTCATATGTAATAAAGGCGTACATGGAGTCACGTACGGCCTTCTTACATACAATTGAAAGAACTTGCTGAGATGGGTGGTAGGAAAAAACGAAACTGTCAGACTATTCAAAAGAGTTGTATTTATTTATTTTGGGACAGAACGCCTAAAAGGTTTAACAGAATGACTACTAAGTGTTGATCTTTACTTGAGTACAGTTAAAAAGGGATGTCGCTATGTGCTTTATAGAGCATTATCCGTTTCTGATTATGCTCAAGACTAGATTAATTACTGAGAATCTATTTATAATACGGGCCTAAAGCAGTTGAAACGCAATGTTTCCAAAAAATTATTACAAAAGGTAAACTAAGGTTTCGAACATGAACACTCTCCACACTGATCCTCTGGTACGCAGTCACCGTTCTTCTTCAAATAATTCTCACGACAGACACAACCAGGGACGCAAGCTCCCGGCATCAAGTCTGGGCAAGGCACGGGCTTCCCTTTATCCTTGCAATCTTGCGCACGACATATTCCATTAGAGCAGCTGGAAAATACTTCGTTTGGTTTGCAGGCTAGCTCTGAAATAAAAAAGCGTAAATTTCTTACGGGTTTGTCTTTTTGTTTCTAAGCTTGGTAAGTCTAAAGTTAAATGTGCAAATAGAGAAAGTTATGTTTGTTGTCAGTTGCTGCGCCAGAATTTGATAAATTGCAATACCTTTGCACTTCTGAGGAGTGACACAATTTCCTTTGCTATCTTTGTAATAGCCTTTCTTGCATCTACATGCTGGCTTACAAGGTAGAACGATGCCTATGCGGTATGTAGGGCAAGTCGTGTTCTTCAAATAATCGGCACATGTTTGTCCGGGGCACTGTACTATCGGTGGGCAGTTGTCGTAAACTTCATTCGGTTTCGTACATGGGAAAGGAGCTGAAATGGACATTTTGATATTTTATTTTTTTGTCTGATAACTTTATTCTAAGATGATGGTGATGGCGAGAAGAAACATTCAAAATGAAAAATAAAGATATTTCTGTAATTGTTGACAAATGATACATATTAATATTTTGCCTTGTAACGTTGTGCACATATAAAATGACATTCAATAAAATGGTGACATTATAAGTATTGTTTTTAATTAAGTGATGCTTTTTATTGAATATTTTTTTTTGTTTTCGTAGAACCATCCTCGATAATCTTCTTTTATCAGAAAAGTCACAAATGATAGCAGTTCAAAAAGAAAATTATTTTAAGTCCATAAAATACTGTAGTACAACATTATAACATCCGTTTGGATGATGATATTATGGTTATTAGGCCATAAATGTTTAAATATTGGCAGTTTCAGATCCTTTTATAAAGATTTTAGAGCATGGATGTAGATAAATAAATTCATCTTTATTTAATTAATTTATAATGAACTCAGTGTGTATGGCACACATTTTTTTATAAAATAGTCTATTAATATAAGATTAATGTCTAATAAATACTCACGACAGTTTGCGATGGGTATGCATTTGCCAGTCTTGCGATCACGTTTTTTGTTAAAGCCACAAACGCATCTTCCCTTTTCACATTTCTTCGGAATCGGACAGGTTTGAGGCGAGTCTCTGCACTTCGGACAATAATCTGCATCACACTTGACTGGTGCGCACTTCTCGTACACCTCTCCAATAGGACAAGTTGGAGCTGTAAAAATAGATATTTATAAAGTTGAATTCCAAATTTAAGAGGGGCGTTCCTACTGATTACAATAATCGAATGGTTTGGTACTACTAATATTAACAATAGATTTCAAAAGAAATCAAATTTGACAAGTTTTCTCATGCAATAAAGTCTACTTTTAATTGATTACTACGAATATAAGTAATTAGTTACTCGTTTAATTTATTAATGTAATAATATTCTTAAAACAATAAAACATATCATAGTAGGTACCTACATTTACTCATGTATTTCAAATCTATCTTTCGCAGAGATTTTTTGCAATTTATAAGCATGTTTCTTAAAAAAAGCAGTGGTCACTCCTATCTATAAGTTTGAATATCTTTAACAAGGATCAAGTAAGTAGTTAAAGACCGATCGATATCAGTTCGATCGATATCAGAACGATATCAGCACTACCATGAATATCATAAATATAAGAAATAATTATTAATAATAGGCGAACTCAATACCTCCAGAAAAATAACTCTCTGTCTACTATGCAATTTGGTTTTCGGGCAAAGCTGTCCATAGCGGATGCGATGCATTATCTGATCGACCATCTTACTCAAGAACTAGGGAAAGGAAATCAGACTAACTATTTTTCTTGATCTAGCAAAAGCATTCAATACTGCATAAATACTAAAGCTTCTTAAAAAGTTGAAAGCTCTGGGTATTAGAGGAATACAGTTAAACTTTTAACAGAATACTTAGATGATCGATATCTGTGCGTGAAAGTCGACAATATTACGAGTGATTACCAGAAAACGACCTGCTATTGTATTCCTCAAGGAAGTATAATCGGTTCTACTCTGTTTCTTGTCTACATCAACGATTTATATAACCTGAATCTAAAAAAATTAAAAATCGCTGATGACGCTGCCCTTATTTTTGCACCAAGAATAACACAGAACTGTACGAAGTTACTCAACTCGGCTTTAATACTGTAAATGACTGGCTTCGCCACAATCTACTCACATTGAATACTAACAAAACAAAATATATCCATTTCTCCATGCGCAAGCCTTATATTAGTGTTACTAACCCAAACGTATATGCACACCAATGCCAAAACCCCTTAGTCAATATATGCGATTGCCCTGTAATCTCTAATACACCTTATATTAAATATTAAGGTATTATAATTGATGACACATTGTCTTTCAAGCAGCATATTATGAATCTGGTAAACAGGATCCGTAAATCAATGTATGCCTTAAAAAAAAACTACGTACAATTGCGCATCCAAAACTTATTAATTAGATTTACAAGGCCTTATGTCAATCAATAATCCAATATTGCATAACTTCCTCGGGTGGAGCACTTAGAAGTATCTTAATCCCTCCTGAACGAGCCCAGAGAGCTATCCTGAAAGTTGCACATTCATTTCTATTCTATTACTCTACGCGCTTGCTTTACAAATCTTTCAATGTGTTACAGTTCGCCAGATTTTCATACAGTATACCATATTAAAACAAAACACACTCGCTTCTTTTGACCCTCACTTCATTAACAAAAGATGAAGAGATAAGGTTTGTATCACACAATTTGATTCTAAATTCGTTTTTCAAAAAGATTTTTTTTGTTTTCTTAGTTCCTTTTTATATTGCACTAAATTATTTTAATTGTGAAAAACAAATATTTAAGTATTTACACAGCCTGACATATGAGCAGACTGGAGGAACTACTTTTAATTTGTAAATAAATACTAGGTACCTTTATAGCTAAGATTTCAAATGCTGCTGTTTCTATTGTTATTAAAATTGTTAATTTATTACTTAATGTAGCATAACTCTAAAATAACGTTTGACCTCGAAAAGCCTGAAATACAGGTACAATTATAATGTCACCTAGTCTAGGCAAACTTGATTATTGCATATAAATATAGATTTTTATTTGAATATAATGTGATCTATTTTTTGATTATTATTTAGAGTCCTACCGAAAAGAAGTTTCAGTTCAAAAAAAAATATATTTTTAGACACTAAGCGTAACAAAATATTTCTATACACTCGCCAGCATAAATACGTCACTTAGTTAACTTCAAATAACTTTGAAATAACATAAACTAGCTCATTTAATTAAAATGTATCTTGAAGAAAATTTGTTTAGTCAAGGGTGGCATACAGTCCGCATATTATCCACTTTATATTTAATTTCATAAGGAAGAGAAGTTATCTTCATAATTTCTTGAAATATTGCTGTTTTCAAGGTGACACTATATTTTTCCGCGCGAGTGTAGATGAAATGCAATAATTATTTTGTGACATTTTTAAGTAACACTTACTGTCTTCGCACTGGTCCTCTGGCACACAAACACCGTTCTTCCACAAGTATTTCTCACGACAGACACAACCCGGGACACAAGCTTCTGGCCTCAAGCGTGGGCAAGGTACAGGCTTTCCCTTGTCCTTGCAGTATTTAGGAACGCAGCTTGCAGCAGGGCAGCTAGAATATACTTCGTTAGCCTTGCAGATAGGTTCTGAAACAAAATTTATATAACATAAACTTTTTGTTTATTAAGTCCGAAACATGTAATTTTTTGTATGAATTTCTTTTACAGTAATCTTATAATCTCAAAGAGATGGCGCTGCCTTGCAGCTTAGGGCTAGGAAAATTTTGACGCGGCCATCAGGGCCCTGGTAGCATAATTGGTCAGTGCATTCGCCCGGATTGTGAAGGTGACACTTTATTTTTCCGCGCGAGTGTAGATGAAAGGCAATATTTTGTGACATTTTTAAGTAACACTTACTGTCTTCGCACTGGTCCTCTGGCACACAAACACCGTTCTTCCACAAGTATTTCTCACGACAGACACAACCCGGGACGCAAGCTTCTGGCCTCAAGCGTGGGCAAGGTATAGGCTTTCCCTTGTCCTTGCAGTATTTAGGAACGCAGCTTGCAGCAGGGCAGCTAGAATATACTTCGTTAGCCTTGCAGATAGGTTCTGAAACAAAATTTATAGAACATAAACTTTTTGTTTATTATGTCCGAAACATGTAATTTTTTGTATGAATTTCTTTTACAGTAATCTTATAATCTCAGAGAGATGGCGCTGCCTTGCAGCTTAGGGCTAGGAAAATTTTGACGCGGCCATCAGGGCCCTGGTAGCATAATTGGTCAGTGCATTCGCCCGGATTGTGAAGGTGACACTTTATTTTTCCGCGCGAGTGTAGATGAAATGCAATATTTTGTGACATTTTTAAGTAACACTTACTGTCTTCGCACTGGTCCTCTGGCACACAAACACCGTTCTTCCACAAGTATTTCTCACGACAGACACAACCCGGGACGCAAGCTTCTGGCCTCAAGCGTGGGCAAGGTATAGGCTTTCCCTTGTCCTTGCAGTATTTAGGAACGCAGCTTGCAGCAGGGCAGCTAGAATATACTTCGTTAGCCTTGCAGATAGGTTCTGAAACAAAATTTATATAACATAAACTTTTTGTTTATTATGTCCGAAACATGTAATTTTTTGTATGAATTTCTTTTACAGTAATCTTATAATCTCAGAGAGATGGCGCTGCCTTGCAGCTTAGGGCTAGGAAAATTTTGACGCGGCCATCAGGGCCCTGGTAGCATAATTGGTCAGTGCATTGCCCGGATTGTGAAGGTGACACTTTATTTTTCCGCGCGAGTGTAGATGAAATGCAATATTTTGTGACATTTTTAAGTAACACTTACTGTCTTCGCACTGGTCCTCTGGCACACAAACACCGTTCTTCCACAAGTATTTCTCACGACAGACACAACCCGGGACGCAAGCTTCTGGCTTCAAGCGTGGGCAAGGTACAGGCTTTCCCTTGTCCTTGCAGTATTTAGGAACGCAGCTTGCAGCAGGGCAGCTAGAATATACTTCGTTAGCCTTGCAGATAGGTTCTGAAACAAAATTTATAGAACATATACTTTTTGTTTATTATGTCCGAAATATGTAATTTTTTGTATGAATTTCATTTGCAATAACCTTATAATCTCGAAAAGATGGCGCTGCCTTGCAGCTTAAGGCTAGGAAAATTTTGACGCGGCCATCAGGGCCGTGGTAGCATAATTGGTCAGTGCATACGCCCGGATTGCGAAGGGTGCGGGTTCGAATCCCGTCTGCTGCCTGGTCTGCGTGGATTTTTTTCTAGAAAACTTTTCTTTAGATTTAAACATCTAGCAGTTAAATGCTTAAAAAAATAAAAACATAACTATAATTGCTATTTCTTCTTTCAAATGTTTAATACTTGAAAATGTATTAATTTGACATTGTGGGTTACCTACAATGCGAAGAGATGGCGCTGCCTTGCAGCTTAAGGCTAGGAAAATTTCGACGCGGCCATCAGGGCTGCGGTAGCATAATCGGTCAGTGTATTCGGCCGGATTGCGAAGGGTGCGGGTTCGTGAGCCGTCCGCTGCCTGGTCCGCGTGGATTTTTTTCTAGTAAAACTTTTCTTTAGATTTAAGTACTATTATCTTGAATTTTTTCAGGTATACAAGTTAATGAATGACGATGAAAAAATAATTCATCTCCAGGTTACATGTAAGGGAGCTAACCTATTTTTTTTTATTTTATTCTACCGTTTTGTTCGTACCATTTATTTGTATATCATGATTGATATACATATCTCCACGAAATTACAGCTCTCTAGTCCTAACAGTCTCCAAACAAAACCGGGGACGGACAGACAGACGGACATGACGGAACTCAAAGGGTTCCTTGTCAGAACTACGTACCCCTATAAATATTTTTATTCTTGTCCACTGTTGGCTTTTCTATTGTTATATGATGGAAGGTGACAGGGCCTAATTTAACATTTTTTTAAAGTTTTACCTCTCTATACGGGCTTAATAGGTAGTTAGTATTATTTATTTGATAATCAAAGTCCTTGATGTAATTACTTTATAATTATTTACAAAGTAAAATAAAAAAAAACACTCACGCCAAATAGCAAACATTTGCCCCACCACGATTCGGACCCAGGAACTCTGATTAGGCGACACCGTGAAACCCGGCGTACATACCACTCGCACGACGGAGATCGTCAAATTACTACCATGGTTTAATCATGCACAAAATAGGTTGAGTAAAATTGAAAAAGTATGAACTTACTGTCACACTGGTCCTCTGGTACACAAACACCGTTTTTCTTCAAATGTTTCGCAGGACAGATGCATCCTGGCACGCAGGCTCCCGGCTTTACAAGCGGGCAGGGCACACGTTTTCCTTTATCCTTACAGTCTTGCGGGCGACAGATTACGTTAGCGCAAGAAGAATACACCTCATTTCCTTTGCAAGTAGGTGCTGAAAGAAATCCAAATATTTGTTAAAAGGCGTGAAGAAGCATTTTTGCAGGCCGGCAAGGTGAGGATGGTTGGTGATGCAGTTTATAACTGATTTACCAGCTATCTCAGTGTTTGGACTTTATTATCACTTAACATCAAGTAGGGTAGAGTCATTTGCCTGCCTGGCTATGAAAAATGAAAAGAAGCTCTTTCCCTGCTTGATGGTAAGTGACTACCAAAACATAAAATATATAAATATTTAATATATGTATAAACGATTAATAAATAAACTAATAATGGGAATTATTCATAATTTCACTAATCAATTTCATCAATACTTACTGCATTTTTCAGGCTTAACGCATTTTTTGGTATTACCATCATAGTAATAGTTTGGTCTACAACTGCAGGCATTCAGTATGCAATAAAGTGGACAGATCCGGGTGACATTGCTGCGTAGGTCAGCACATGTACGTCCACAATGATTACCGCAACCAAGTACCGCATTTTCGTCACCGCCGCAAGATGCTATAAAACGCGAAACAGAAATAATGAAATCATATTTCAATGTGACAATTGAGGAGCTAGCGAACAGAACCGGACTTCTCACACTCCACTTCTATTGAAAAAAAGTTTTTTTTTCCAATCGTGATGTCTTGACCCAGTTTCGTCGATCATTGTTAATATTTTCAAACAAAGCCGGCTCAAAGTAGGCAAAAAAGTGCTCTAAAAATGCATTTTCAATATGTTTATTAGTCACCTGCATAATACTGATATTAGTTTTTTAGCCACTATGTAAAATTTATTTTCGTGGATTAATCCGGTTCTGTTCGCCAGCTTCTCAATTGCATGTATTTCAGTAAAACTTTCAAACGGTTTCCTTTGAAAATTCAGGAAGAGTCTTGTGTTTTTTCTACAGGATGGTTAATAGATAACAACAAATGCATTCAAAGTGTAAATATGAGGTCTTATTCTTTACTTTTATCATAAGATTCTATAAATGATAATCATTTTTTCACCAAATACCACAATCTTTTAAGTTGTTAAAAGTTCCTTACGAGCAGAACCTTATTTATTCACAATAATAAAATGAAATGCTCACGGCATTCGTTTGAATCTACGCATTTTCCATCCTTGTTTTTAAGTTTTCCGTCTTTGCAAATGCACCCAGGTTTGCCAGGACACGAAGAGCTGTTCCCACAATTAGGATTTGGGAAGCCTGCCTTATCACAAGTCAAAGGACTGCAGGATGCGTCAGGACATTCAGAATATTCTTCGCCGTCTGGGCAGGTATCATCTGCGAATAAATTAAAATAGAGTATTATTATTGCTTTAAACATAAAAATAGCAGCCAAATGTTATTTTATTAAATACTAGCGGTCCGCCCTCGCTTCGCTTCGGTGTAGAGCTGAAGTGTAGACTACAGTTTAGATAAAAACGGTCATTTTTATTACCTGTATTTATAATCAAACTAAAATTCTCATATTTCCGTTTTCCAGTACTCATTTTCTACACGTTTTACATGATTTATTTGATAATTTTGTTTACAAATATTTGGTTTTTATTCTAAGATAAGCACGGTTTCTTAATATCAATTATTGTCTGTCAATAAGGTCGAACGCTCTGAACGCATCAACAGCCAAATATTGAATGAAGCTCGCTTTCTTTTTTTTTTGTTTCCTCCCAGGCGGGCGGGTGTGAAATCCTCATGGATACCCTACAGCCGGCCTTAGGGTTATGTCAGACTCTTACTGACTAAAACACACCCGTGGGGGATGCCTATGGCCTTAGGAGCCATACAGGCTTTATCTGATGCGATCAACCCCTGAGAAGGGGATGATGCAGCGCTGTCTTAGTAAATACTACTGCATAGTGCGCTTAGAGGACGGATGCACTCTGATGTGCATCCGTATCGGTTTAGGACAAAGCGACTGAAGGTCTCTCAGGATCGGGGGGGCGGGGAAGCTCGCTTTCGGACCTCCCGCCTTTCTAAACCCTACCGCCGCCGCGACCCGTGTCGAGCACGGCAACCGTTACACAAAAATAATCCTTATAGCATGATTCAGTATTCACGTGCGACGGCGCGATGGCTTATTTCATTTATAAGTTTGGTGTTTCTATACAGATTTCTATGATTCTCTTTTTATTGAATAGGTAATAATGTTAACTTTTTTTAATTAGGGATGAGTGAGAGTATTATAAACGTAAGTGTAAACAAATATAATCAGAATGCTCCGAACTGCTAAGCTATCAGGAGTTACACGTGTTATTGTGAGTCAACCATAAAAGATAGACATATGCTGTTGCGAAATATTTTTTAGACAATTTTATGTAAAATATTTCCGTCATACATGATTTCTATGTAACTTTAACCATTAAGGATGCACACGCGACGGAAGCTTAGAAAATGGAGTAACTTCTCCCGTTTTCCCAACATTTCCCTTCACTACTCTGCTCCTATTGATTGTAGCGTGATGAAAAGTATACTATAACCTGCCCAGGAGTATGAAGAATAATTGTACCAAGTTTCGTTAAAATCCGTCGAGTAGTTTTTGTTTCTATAAGGAACATACACACAGACAGACAGACAGACAGACACAAAAATTTTACTGATTGCATTTTTGGCATCAGTATCGATCACTAATCACCCCCTGATAATTTTTTTGAAAATATATTTCATGCACAGAATTGACCTCTCTACAGATTTATTATAAGTATAGATTATTGCCTTACCTTTACATTGTTTACCACTAACACAATTGCCTTTCTTATTTCGGTAAGTGTCTTTCTTGCATATGCATGCTGGACGACAAACAATTGTATTGTTCCCACTATTGTCACTGGGACAAGTTGAGTTTTTCAAATAATCAGTACATAATTTTCCGGGGCCCGGAGATGGGCAACTTGCGTAGACTTCATTCTCTTTATCACACTTGAACGGTGCTGAAATTATTATAAAAGATTAACTTCTTTTTTTTTTTTGAAGATGAATACTGGCATCTAACCGCACCAATTTAAATAATTCAAACTCCAGTTAAAGCTAAGCTTATTTCGGTTTTGTATCTTGGCAACATTTATTATTTTATTCTAACTAATTAAAATACATAGGAAACAAAGCTCTAATAGGCCGACCTTTTTCTGGAAATTAATAACTGCAACTGTCTGTAAGTGTAGTAATCCACTTATATTTTTTGTCAATAAATCTAGATATCACTTAAATACTTACGACAGTTTGCGATGGGAATGCATTTGCCGGTTTTACGGTCGCGCCTTTCATTGATGCCGCAGACGCATCTTCCCTTTCCACATTTCTTTGGAATTGGACAAGACTGCGGGCCGTCTCTATTTTTGGGACAATTTTCCGCATCACATTGTACTGGTGGACAGGGCGAGTATACCTCTCCTTTTGGACATGTTGGGATTGCTGAGAGAACATTTTTACAAAATTAAAATTGAGGTGAATAAAGTCATTATTAAATTAGTATCTATTTAAAATAAGTAGTTAATGATGTCGATTCTGGCATGATTCTCTAAAAGCTAAACTTAAATTTGACAATAATGCATCCTTTTCACTCTCTATACAGAATAAAAAGGAGAGACTGATGTTAAATTTAGTTTAAAGTTTAGAGAATCACGCCAGAATCGACCCCAATAGCTAGGTAAAAAAATCAAGCTAATTTTAAATTCAGATTTTTCAGGTGTAGCTTTGACAAATGAATGTTCTAAATCAGAAATAGGGTCATCCCACTTCACTAATCAGATGTTCAGTTGCTTCTGCATTTTTGTAATGCAACCAAAAATTAATGAATACGTTCTGATACAAAAAGCTTCCAAAGATCCTACAGTTTACTTACGACAGTCACACTCCTTCACACAGACTCCCTCTGGATTTTTGAGGTAACCTGGTTTACATCTACAAGCTGGCTTGCAGTTGGGGCCTGTTTTATTTGCTGGTATCATTGGGCAATGAAAGACATCATCTTTAGTAGCGCAGGTCTGGGGAGAGCAGTCAGGGCATTTGTCGTACACTTCATTAGGTTTTGGACATACGGCTAGAAGAAAGTAATTATTTAGCTATAATTCAATTCAAATATTCAGAGTTCTTTATCATCGTTTAATAATAAATAAATAATTCTAAAACTATACCGCTTTATTGGCGTGAGTAGCCCTAGCCTCAAAGTAAGCACTATACGACTTGTTTTAGGAGATACTATAAAAACGGATAAAATAGATAAAAACACCCTTGACTTAGGTACTAATTCCGTATTCATCACTCATCATACAACATTTGCCTTACCAGAATTAAAACCTGGAACCTCTGATTAGGCGACACTTTGAAACCCGCCGTGCTAACCACTCAGCCACGGAGGTATAGAAGTAAAGAACTGAAAGGTTACACTAGTGCTAATGATATTAAAACGAAATCATATTCGAATGTTGGTATGTTGTAGAAAACTGAAATTTTAGTTATTAAAACTGGAATACAAGACTTATGTTTGACTTTTTAGTGCTTTATTCACCAGATCATTGAATTGCCAAACTAGTTGGTAAGTAAGTGGTAGTCATAACTTCAGGTCGAAGACAATCTGTTTATTAGGTAGGGCTAAACGATAAACAATTAATATTCAGAGTAAGTGATTAGAAAGAGGGAATTAACATTTGTAACAAACAATATTACGTAGGTAAATTGATGCTGAGAAAACAAGACTTACATGATGATGGACAATCATCTGGTTTAACGCATTTGTTGGAGACACCGTCGTAGTAATAACCCTTCTTACAATCACATCCGTTCAGTTTGCAAATTCTAGGGCATATGAGATTCGGGGTGACCACGTCAGAGCACTTCTTTCCGCAATTCGTAGCGCATCCAGGTTCTGCATTTATATCACCGCCACAAGACGCTAGAATAAAAGATTAACTTATTAAGTTTAAATCGTGCATTGCCCGTGGTACAGTTGACATAGTCAGGTTGACTAGATCATGGTTAAAATTTCTTACAGCAGTACAGTTAACCGGACAAATGGTATTTTTTCCTAACATTTTGTTGTAACAATTGCACAGTTGACCGGACAGGCGAAAGCTTTATATTTCACAGCCGAGTTGACCACCTTACCCCTTTTAATTTATTATTACAGTTAACCGGACTAAGGTAAGATTCACTTGCACCCAATTCGCTAAATCTCGATTTAATTTACACTTTATTTCGCCCATATAAGCATGATGTTTTTGTATGGGTTAAATCTAGTTTCAGTTAATAGAGACTTAACAAATTTGGAACAAGCAGGCTTTATGTAATGTAAACTTGTAATCATAGATAGCCATACCATTACATAATGTACCTAACTAACTTCATGTTGTAGTGGTATTGCCATGATTTCGAGTATTGTCATAGCTATATCTTGGAGCTTAGCAGCTTGTTTGGGCTCGGTAATAAAATTTTTTCAGAGTCGGGAGTCCGCGTCACTCTTTCTCTCTCTACAGTTTTACTGTTGTAGTTTTCTGGATAATAAAAGGAAAATATAAGCGAATAACGTTCATAATAACTCGTGATTTTGAGAGAAAATTGTTTTAATATGTTACGAATGAAACGTTGTAGTATACCCGTGTCATTTCGACGACAGAAAGCGGAAATGCTGTATCTCTAAAATTGGCGAAGTTTTATGCAATATTTATTTCTAAAATCTTTTATCTCTAAAAGTTTTATGCAATTGCAGTATACAAAAAAAAGATGAATCGATAGGTCTCGTCTTCCTACGGCTATGTTTCATGTACATACAACGTTGAAATATGGAGGGAGTATTTCATAAATTCTACTATAAACTGCTGTAAATAATGCAAAACCAAAAACAGCTCTTTTTGAAAATAAAATAGATTCAGTAACAGCTTAATAAAAATAACAGTTACAACGTTGTTTTTCACATTGTTAATGTTATTTATAGCAAGATACAGCATTTTGCCGCAAGAAAAATTATGGCCGATAGAGATACAGCTTCTAACTACTACTACCACTACTACTAACATTTACAACATTTTCATAATATAATATACTAATTACAAGCACCATTATAATATAGGTTAGTTTCTTAAACAGAAACCTAATACGCCTTTCTAGCTATCTCCACTCGATTAGTGTGTTTCTTTGATACACCATTACGACCGCGTGTCAATTGATAAACGAGCATTAAACTTGGCGTTGTTGCAGAATATTTTGTGTTGCGAAATGTTGTGGTTACATAAATAGTTAAGAAGTCTCTTAAATGTTTTTTTTTTATTTTTGTAGATGATTTGTTATTGAATAAAGTGATTATAATATTAATGGCACCTACTCCGCAAATATAACTCTTCACACATTTTCTCTCACAGATACAGCATTTACGCTGCCTGTTTTTGAAAGCTCTATTGCTGTACCTCCTCAGAAACAACCACTTGTTTCTGAGGAGGTACAGCGTTACAGAGGTATATTATATCAAGGACTATAACGCAACCCCTTGCGTAATTGTCCTTGATATAATATCAATAATTTCCAAAATTTAAGTTTCTATTTTCATAAATAGACGAGTAATGATTTTTTAAAAAACTTCTTTTGGCTCTGGTGTAACTTGGATTTTTCGTAATTAAGCAGTGTCGCTTCCTACCGTGATTTATTCCTGAATAATTTGTGCACTTTTAAAAAGCATCGAAGATTAGTATTATCTTTTTAACACAGAATATCCGCAATATTGTTTTATGAGTGCACGTGGGGCGTGTTTTCTTGACAAATTGTAACTAAAGCGAATTGTGTGCATGCACCTAATAAGCTGTACACATTAGAGATGCGAGTGTCACGTCTCCCTTTCGGATTTTATCTAAGATCGTGTGTATTTGTAACAGTTATGAATCCAAAATAAACAAATACAAGGGATCTCATACGACATGTATGTAAGTGTACAAAAATAATAGGGACCCGATGTTTTACATAACTAGAGCCTACCTATATCATTATACCTACAAACACAATCTATTGATACTTTTAAAAGAGATGTAAGCCTCCCGCCCATGGGTTCGTTATTATCGGTCGATAATATTGGATGCGTTATTACGATATTTCGTCATACTTATTTGGCATCGTTATAATCACAGCAGTGTGTTACTTCGTATTCGTTCTCATACATAATGCACTTAAAATACCCTTATCAATCAGCATCCATGCCATCTCAGCTGAGGCAATCATGAAGAGCTGGAGATAAATAAATGATTGTCTATCATCCCATAATAGACAGCCATTGCGAAAGTTTCTTAATATCCACGCTTATAGGTAAAATGCACTAGCTACTGTCGTATATCGATTTCTCATACCTAGATAATGGACAATTGTTAATGTACAAATATATTTTAATTAAAATCACTATAAAATCTACATAAATTTAATAACGAAAATAATACTTACGGCATTCTTTTCGTGGTACACACTTTCCTGCCTTATCCTTTACTTTGCCGTCTTTGCAAACGCACCTAGGTTTGCATGAACATAAAGATATATTTCCACAATTGGGTTTTGGATAACCAACTTCATCACATGTCACGGGTTCACAGGATGCCTCCGGACAATCACAGTATTCTTCACCGGCCGGGCAGGTTGGAACTTTAAACAATCGAAAAAATCATTGTAGTCCACTGTACTTGTGATTTTAAGGTTTAATAAATCAGGATCAGTCTGCATAGAAATATAATGAGAATATTATTTAGGTAGGTACTATTCACTGACGCAAATAATGAAGGAAAAGGAATGGTCAAAAATATAATAATTACATGTACAAAAAAGTTTTGAAAATCAGTCATTGAATGCTGGATGCCGGCACCATCGAGGGGCAAGGACGGTTTTTCCCCTAATCTTTCCAATCTTGCACCCGACAAAGTCCATTCGAGCAGGAAGAAAACACCTAGTTTCCTTTGCACGTTGGCGCTTAAATACCATACAATCTGTGTTTGTTTACAAAAATCAATGTTTTCGTTTTTTAGTTGCGAAATTCAGTGAAAAAATTAAAAATTTCGTTGTAACAACTTGTTACAGCAATAACATGCAAAGAAAAGGACAACGCATGTCATGAAAGACTTACTGCATTTCTCTGCTGTGACGCATTTTTTGATTTTGGTATCATAGTAGTAGTTTGGTTTACATTCACATCCATTTATTATATACACTTCTGGGCAAGCCGTCACATTCTTGCCTATATCAGCACAAGTGCGCCCACAGTTACCACGGTTGCTAGGAATTGCATTCTCGTCACCTCCACATGATGCTAAAAGAGATTTCATGATTTTAATTGGCTCTGCTGTTTAAGTAATTTACAGAAATTAATAACGGTAAATCCGTAAATCAGTACTTAGCTGTGAAAAGTTTCCATTTTAAGTTTAATTAATTGACTTCATATTTCAGTGTAGATTTATTTTAAGAGTATGATTGAGCTAAGCTACGGACAGAGGACAGAGGAACAGTGCGAAACAATAAGGGTTCCTTAATAACTTCAGATTCTTAAAACGGAATATATTATGTAGATTGTTAATTTACTAAGAATGTTCTTTATTGTTTTATGTTATATTTTTTTATTTAAATTGGATAATTGAAGTTGTTTGTTTATACTTACGACACTGGTTTGAAGGAATGCATTTTCCAGTGGAATTTCTTAGGTAGGAGTCTTGGCATATGCAACTGGCGTTGCTCGAGCAGGGGGAGCTATTGCCACAGCACGTTTTTGGGTAACCAGCTTCAGCACATGTTAGAGGGCCGCAGATTGCAGCTGGGCAAGCTGAGTATTTTTCGCCTTTTGGACATGTAGCTACAAAGAAAATATTTTAAAAAAAGGCTAAATTTCATAAATCTACAAACACGACTGCTTAAATATAACTTGAAATAAAAAATGAAAAGCAAAAAACAAGTCCAATAGTCTATAATTCTGTTAAGTAAGAAACAACGCTACTTTAGCAGTGGGGACGCATTTTAGCAAATTTTTATCCATTCTCGAATATCAAATGGGTCCCGACTGTTAAAGTAGCTTTGTCCTTACTTAAAAAAAATTGAAGATTACTGGACTTGTTGTTTCTTTTCAGTTTTTGTGTGTAGTAATATTTAGGCAGTCGGGTTTGTTGACTTTTTATTGACTTAATATTAGAACTATAAGATGGTATACAACGCAGTCTTGTCACTTTAGGACGGGAGTGCATGTCGCGGGAATTATTAAGTACCTTGCGGTGGTCTAAACAAATGATTCATGAAAACATATAGAGACAAGGCTACATATGGGCCTCAATTTTCGCATACATGTGTTAAAAGTAAAAAGGAGCTGTTTCTTGTATCTCATGCATGTAAATATTATAGTTAACTAGTCCATATTCAAAAAGTAATATTTTGTTTATGTTTCTTTTTAGTAGTTTAGGAACAAATTTAAGTTAATTTACTTTTATTCACCGACTATCTAAAATTGGCAGTGGCTGCATTGTCATCTCAACGTCTGGCTTTAAGATTGTGATATACACAAAGGGTGTTATATCCTAGTCTCCTGATTTATTTTACCTACATAATTCATAAAAACTAATTATGTAGATGCCCGAGGTTAACTTCAAATGTTGTTAATCACCCTATATACAATAACAATCAAAGACGTTAATGTTCATGTCGCAGGTTGACGAAAGCAATAATTCCCGTCTGTTATTTTGGACATGCCACCAGTGTCTGCCACTGCCTTAGATCGCTTAATTAAGTAATTATGCAATCACCAAAGTAAAGTTTGTTATATTTGATTAAACTAAAGGCGCAGCATAAAATTTCCATAATATTAGGTACAGCACCATAGCGATCTCATTTATTATCAATTTATCACCCAATACATAAATTTACATCTTTGTCGTTCTCTTTTAAAGCGGTCACCAGTACCAGGTCGCAGGCTTTCCGGTCGACGGTCTCTTTTTTCAGCAAATTAATATGTATTATTATCTTAACTTTCCACACTAATATTATAAAGGGGTAAGATGTGTTTGTTTTTAATAAATAATCTGTCAAACTACTGAACCGATTTTGAAAATATGAATTTATTTTTAAGAAAGCTTTATAATTATATTTTCAAGCATTAATCTCAATATTGTTAATTAATCTGCTCGATTTATAAATCTAAAGAAAAATTTTACTTGAAAAAATCAACGCTTACAACTTTTCTGTGGAATTTTCTAGTAAATTATCCTAAACAGTCACATAAAATGAAAAATGATCCAAGAAACCTTAAGATGATTTTCGATCTAGACAATTATACTCCATTAGACATATTTCGTCAACTTATTTATTTACTATGATATCTTTGGTAGTACTCCCATGATTAAGACGAATCGATTGACTTTTCACATTGAATATTCACACATAATATACACATATAGACTGTTAAACGACTTTTGACGACCTCCGTGGTCGAGTGGTTTGTACGCCGGGTTTTATGGCTGTCGCCGACTCGAGAGGTCCCGGGTTCGAATCCCGGTGGGGGCAGATGTTTGTGTGATGAATACGAGCATTTTGTACTCCAGTCACGGATGTTTAATATGTATTTATATAAATATACTTATATATGTACAGTATATGTATTCTATCCGTTACCCTAGCATCCCATAACACAAGCCTTATAGTGCTTACTTTGGGGCTAGGCTAATTGGTGTGAGTGTCGGAAATATTTATTTATTTATTTATTATTTAAACACTATACCCTGTCTGCAGGTTGCGCTTCGCGCTCTTACATTGCGCAGTCGGGTAGAAAGTTACCTTGTTGCCTGAGGCGTCCGTTAGACGATTAAGTACAGCCATCAATACCATCAATCATAAAAAGCACATGGTGACTAAAATGTCATCAGTTTCCTCATTATGCTTAATCTACACCTGCGCGAAGCTTGGGGTGGCTTTGATACAAAATTGAGCTAAAATTAGCGTTCTTACCTTGAATTTCGGAAGTTCCTTCAGTTGCACATACAAATTTAATGTTTTCCATAACCTCTTTCAGAGTGTCAAAATATCGCTAGTCAAGCTATCGTCTCGAGTCTTTAGACACGAAGCCTGCTTATTCATTACGAGAGAATAATTAAAATTTTGAAAGCTAATTTTAGCGCATTTAATACCTAAGCCACCCGAAACTTAGTCGCGCAGGTGTGGGGGAAACATAAGACGACAGGTTTGGCATCAGTCATAACCTTACTGTCAGTAAACTGGCAGCAAAATATACCATCTAATAGACGCCTAACTTAACGCTACAAAAAGCATCAGTACAAAGAGTTGGCTCTTTGTACTCGCGGGGGTACTCGCTTCTTTCTGACAAAGTGAATAAAGGCATTTTATGCTAACGAGCCTATTTGGTTACACTGTAACTGACCGACGCGCTTAGGTAGACAGTTAGGTGACTTGAATAAGCTAATCGTGATACTTAGCTTTATGCAAGTTTAATTTGACAAAAAATTTGACTCGGACTTTTGGTACGCAAAAAACCTAGTTAGGTACAGAAAATCCCTGAATTATATTCAATGTTATAATGAAATTAAGTGCAATATTATATCACCCGTTTCAATAATATTAGATATGGTCAATAGGACATGCGTTTTTTTAACGTTGACAATAAGCGGACAGTTTCAGAATCTTACTTCTTAGAATAAATCTTAAACAGGTTTTAAGGCATGGTTGTAGATAAAATTTATTAATAAATAAAAAAAATAAAAAGCTTTGACTTTCGTACTCTTTGCATTGCATGAATCTTTATTTTTATTTTAAAACATTGAATCATGAAAAAATAATGAGTTTTTTTTTTTGAGAGTTGAGAGACATATCGCTTTGATGCCAAGTAAAGTAGCGAACATACCAAGTCAATACAAAATTAAAAAAATTAAAAGTACTTACAGGTGCAGTCTTCTGGTTTGACACATTTCTTTAAATTGCTGTCATAGTAAAACCCGTTCTTGCAGTCGCATCCATTTAATTGACAACCTTTACCGCATACACGATTAGGATTGACTAAATCCGAACACTTCTTTTTACAATTGGTACCGCATCCCAACGTTGCATTCTTGTCACCGCCGCAAGACGCTAGATAATGGAAAAATATATTAGGAAGGCGTAGTAAATTACGGTACTTCAGCTGATGTTAAACATAAGTGGAGTAGCTGCTTGTCGAGATATTTGTCGCATTAATTACCCTTACCTGACCAAAATGAATCATAATTAAAATCAAAATAAAAAATGTTTTATTCAGTCTAGGCTGTTACGAGTACTTGTAAAGGTCGAGAAGCTACGCCATCGGTTCGCAAAACTACGACGTGAGATGTTATACTAAGAAGAACAAGCAAGAAATAAGAAAATCAGCAAGGGCTGTTTTATTTATTCTACCTGTATTATTATAATACACAGTCATCAAATTGAAAAATTACTGAAGAGCTCAGAGTCACCTTCCATTACATAATTAAGAATATAGATAAACACAATAAGTTTTATCAAATTTATTCAGTCTAGGCTGTTACGTCCACTTGTTAAGGTCGAGAATCTACGTCACTAACCACGGCTAACTAGAGCCGAGGCCCGAGTCTCAGAGACGCCCTCTAGTTGAGTCGATCCCCTCAGGTTCG